AGAAATGGGAGTTGACAAAAAATGAACAGTTATGAATAAATAAATTCCTAGTTATCATAGATTACCACTGCAGGTGCAAATTGAAGCACAAGAGCACTGAAGTAAAGAAAGTTAATCTCTTCTAACTGCTCTTACTGTTTCACAGTTTTTTTCCTTTGAGTGACTGAAAGAAAAAGTTTTTAAGAAAGTTCTGGTTTATGTGAAACATTAGTCAGGACTTAAGTGATTAGCAGAAGGTAATTTAAAAATTTTCTGCTGCAGTAACGCTCACAGAGGATTATACACATTACAATTGTATGTGCATGTTGTATCATAAATCAGTTCTAAGATCATGCATCGTTCAAATTTTCCTATTCAGCTTTTTTAGAGTGCCAGCAGCTGTCATCTAAGAATTGCTTCTAAGCACAAGTATCATACAATGTGAGGGCATTTAGTATTTTTTCCCCTCTAAAGTAATAAGCTCATTCTATAGATGGTTGGTTAAAAAAAGACTATTTTGAATAGATTTAAGATATTAAACGAATTCAAAAGTGTATGCAGCTCTGCGCAGAAGGTATTGGATATTGTTCTGGAATAGTGGCTTTAAAAAATCGTAAAATTTTCGTTGTTTGTACGCTAAAAGAAAATCAATTTCTTTCTCATCATTTTTTTCGAAAACAACTTTTTTTCGCATACAGATTAAAGGTATTCAAACCAATTTATAAACTTTGTTTCTCTTAACGGATTTTTCTGCTTTCTCTCTGGGTATATTGTTGTCAAAATTTTAAAAAAATTTCATTTTCGACGTACATTTTCTTCCTTTACTTTATGCACAAAATCGTCTTCAATCTTCCTTTAAGTTTAACAGAAAAAACACCACATTTTGGATATTGTCAAACGGAGGACAATAGCATTAAAATACGGTCATAAACGGAAGTTTTTTCGAGATAGACGGTTTAGGAAGTGGCTGAGGGCGACAGGAAGGACGGCCAATTATGACAATTGTTAAAACTAAACATTAAAAAAATGCCAGTTACGATTGCTGTAAATTTGCTTCAAAAGATTGAACCTAACTGAACAAGACCAAGCACCATTGTTATTTTTAGTGCATGATCTAAGCGTTTAGTTTCAATTATAGTCTTAGCAAAAAAAACGGCGAGTATTTTTTGATGGTTTTTACCAACTAGATTTTTTTCGGAATTACAGGCGAACAAACAGTTAGCTGCTTTTGAACTTGAACTTTTTGCATC